GATTTTCTTGGACGATCATTTAATAAAATGTATGGATGTTTGATAATATTAATTGCAGGTACAGTGAACTCTCGCCTTCCGGACACCGCCCTACAACGGACACCTCTATATTGCGGACAGTAAAATACTGAATCCCCGGCGAAAAATACAAAGAAATGACTGAAAGTAACTCTCGTTAATACAGACTCTAGCTACTGCGGACACTAAATTACGGTCCCGATGGTGTCCGTAATAGGGAGAGTTGACTGTAGTCCGGTTTAGAATATACCAAAAAGTACTACGATGGTGTCTGGAACGTGTTTTTTAATAATCCAATATTTCTTCAGGCCCTTTGTCCATATATGGTTTTTGGTTAATTCCCTTTTCGAAACTTAGAATAATGAAAAAGAGAGCATACGAGGACTAGTGTGTATGAAACTCGACTTTTATCGAAATTTTACGTCCAGTATTAAGCAGAAAAATGCTTTCCATCTCATAACAGGATCACTTGCTTGGAATTTGTTTATATAGGAACCTATACACCTAAGATGTTTGTAACCAAGATGTATAGTGGAATTGTATCTAAATACGGCGTCCCTGATTGGCTAATATAGTTTTGAGATGCGAACTTGATTGGTCATTCTAAGTTGGAAGTAATAATAAAAGGTCGTTCCTGGTTGGTTAAAAAATACAGTATCAGAAAGGTCCTTGAATACAGCCTGTGATTGGACAAAGGAGGCCCTGAACGTCCGTGATTGGCTGGCACATCATCAGGTCGTTTCTGATTGGTCGATGTATCATCAGGTCGCCCCCTGATTGGATAATAGGATACCAAGTGATCCGTGATTGGTCGTAATTTCAGGAATCACCTGATTGGTCCACAGTATATGCCTCTCTTATACGAATATACAGCACCATAGATGACAACAGAATACTCAACAGAAACACCCAACAGAAAAAGTTATCCAAGATAGACGCTGCGAGCTGCCATTCTTCCTTCGCCCTCGCTTCGTCATCACTGTCTTTAACGGAGTTTGCCAACTTTTCCAGATTCCTGGACATAATTTCTTGCTTACCAAGAATAGCGTGCGCGATAACGCTGCGGTCGCACGATGGCTCACTCATAAAGTCGTCGAGTTTGTGTGTGGAGTAAGGCGCCCCATGAGAACGTCCATCATCCTCGTGCTTAGTGTTTAAGCTCACATGCGATTCTTTATCGCTATTCGACAATGTCTTGAGTGCAACAAAACGACGATCTTTAATGGAATTCCTTTGCGAYTGTGAGTCGGTACGAGGAAGCAAAGAGTCCGTCATCGTATTGGAGTTTTTGTCATTTTCCTTGGCGAATGAGTTACAAAATGGAGGATAGTTTGAATCTTTTGGAAGTTTGCAGAAAAATCTTCCCAGGCCTTGAAGAACGACAATACGAACCCAYTTGGGCATTTTATGGACATAKGTACTACAAAAATGGTACTTYAGGACTACACAAGTMCCAAGAAGAGCGATACCAACCTAGAGWAAACAAACAAAGATAGGGATTAAAGACCCACTTGKACCCATGAACCTCTGCGATCGTTTCTTTTGTTTTACTTTAGAGTTTCTTTACAGATATGAATGTAAAGACCTCATGACACTATGGGATACATGATATAGAAAAATAGGAAAGATATACACCTACTGCAGTAACGTTGTCATAGAAAAAAGAACATTTGATTTTAGTAAAAAGGAATAAATTAAAACAAGACAAAAGAAAGCGTTCAACCTCAGTGATCTACCTTTGTATTCTCAATTTATTCCTTTTCACTAAAGACAAATGCCCTATTTTCTATGAAAACGTTATCGCAAGTAGGTGTAATGCTAGGAAGTAGGAAGTTCTTTACAGATATGAAACAGCGAACTTTGTTTTCAGACGGTTTTACCAATTTAGTCGACTTCAAAACAGTGATTCCCAAAGGCGTCGCAAGCCTTGCCCTTGTTTTATTTAATCAACCAATGCTTTCRTTCAAGACACTGGAGGCCCAGATTTATGTCTCATGATGTTGTTCAATCTAAATTTTGTTCTTTATATTCTTTTAGGAGTCAATGCAAAATACATGCGACCGGCTGCGTCAAATCGGAGATCGCGCTGACTCGAGATCAGCAGGTCGTTGGAGCGCGACAGTAATCCCGACAGAGTATTGAAGCAGCTTTTTTATTAATACAAAATGCCCTACCTCAAAGATACAGCACGAATAGAAGACACTTATAATCGATACTTCGTCGGAAGTCGGCGGTAAGAGTTCGGCCACAATTAACATAAAGACGGTCATCGCGAGAAGGTTGGTGATTACGACTGAAATCCTTTCACCAGAATCGGGCGGAAGGTAGAACGACAGCGATGTCAGCACTATAGGGAGAGATAAACAGTTCTTAGAGTATATTATAAATAATAAACAACTTTTAAATTTAGTTCTATACAAATAGTGCGATGCGGTACGTTTTCGTACGTTTCAGTAATGCTCTATTACGTTTCCGTTCTATTCCGTATGTTTCCTTACGTTTCAGTAATGCTCTATTACGTTCCATTACGTATCAATATTTACAGACAATAACACGAGATGATAAAGAAAAAAAAGTCATTTCTTTTGATAAAACTATTACGTTTCCGTACTGTTCCGTATGTTTCCTTACGTTTCAGTAATCCTCTATTACGTTCCATTACGTATCAATATTTACAGACAGTAAACACGAGATGATAAGGTTGAAGAAAAAAAGGTAATTTCTTTTGATAAAACTAATTACGTTTCCGTACTGTTCCGTATGCTTCCTTGCGTTTCAGTAATGCTCTATTACGTTCCATTACGTATCAATACTTACAGACAATAACACGAGATGATAAGGTTGAAGAAAAAAAGGTAATTTCTTTTGGTAAAACTAATTACGTTTCCGTACTATTCCGTATGTTTCCTTACGTTTCAGTAATGCTCTATTACGTTCCATTACGTATCAATACTTACAGACAATAACAAGACAAGGGATGATAAGGTTGAAGAGAAAGAACAACACTCGTCTTTTGATATGGATGGTGAATGTGATGTCCGGGTAAGGCGCTTTACAACAAGCATAATACTCCTCGTTTCTTTTAGAAGGAACTCCCACTAGGTCCCATTCCCCGTTGTCTTGAAACTTGTCAATTGCAGCCGAGAAAGCCTCGGGCTTCATGTCTAGCTGAAAACCATCAAATGTCCAYGAGCCAAATTTGAGTTTGCAYAACTGTTGGTCGAAGGGAAAGTACTGTATCCGTATTTTACAAGAACTCGAGAAGATCACTGGAGCCAGCCACATYTGCCAGCCATCACTCGATACGATGATTCGTGTCTTGAAGTTTTCCAGAGATCCATCAGTACTAGGGTCCGCACTATAAAAACAAAGGAGTCATAAATAGATTTGTTGAGATAAAATGACAGCCTTACTGACATGTGTGACAC